TGTACAGAACGCTGATCATTTTGTATTTTATTAACTGCAGGCAATAACGCAATGTACATCGCTTGATTTTATCATATACGCATTTATGAAAATTCTGGCCCTATGATATTAATGGGGACACCAAAGGTAGGTGGGAATAAAAGTGGCAATTTCTAGACTGTTCTAAATTCGTGAGCAAAATTACATGGCTTGATGCACATTGATGACCATACAATGCAATAAGAGAACATGTTACGTACAGTATAAGTATGAGCAAAAAAAAAATAATGATACCGAAACGAAATTATTCTGATGCAAATGCTTACGTTTTATATTAAGATAGTACATATGAAAATACAGTTTATAGCAATACTTTGTTGCAGTTATGCCATATAATAAACTAGTAAATCAATCGAAGCTAAAATCAAATCATCAAAAGACTTTTAGTCGGTTCTAAAAAATCTTCACTAAGAATGTCTTTATAATTTTTCCAGAGCCATTTTAGTGCTTCTCTAGATGTTGGTCTATCATATTCGTCATTCGCCATTAATTGAGTTACTGCGTAATCTTTTAATTTGTCAGATTCTCCAAGTTTTACCGAAGCTGTCTGAATCAAGTACCCTACAGACCAAACATCGACACTGTCATCATGATAACTTTGAGAAACCTCGGGTGCATGACTCTCTTTAGCCAATTGCGTATTTGGAACACTTGAAGGAAATTTACACGCGTCATCAAAATCAATTATAAACCACTTCTCGCTATCGATATATTTCATCACGTTTTCCCAGCGGAGGTCACGGTGCATGATATTCATTTTGTGAAGAGACTGTGAATGTATAATTTTCGTTAACAAAATCTCTGGGATAAAATGATAAATGATGATGATAGATACCTTAATTGCGGTCAAAACACAGTATATAGCTTTAATTAATTCATTAATCGTTCGTGGTTTATATAGTACGCCCCTTGGTGTAAAAATAATATACGGAATGGTTCCTTCGGTCACGTTGTGTTGCAAAACGGAATCAATATATGGAACTGCGTGTTCCGCCATTTCATGATAAAGTTCCACAATATTTAAAACAAGATCCGGAGTGGAGTAATATTTTACGACATTATCATGTTTTAATTGAATCACTTTACTCGATCTAGATCGGTAGAGTACATCGAATTCTTCTTGATATGATTCTGGTATATTTTGCCTGAGTAAAGGTAATAGTCGGCCAATGTTCCTGCCTATGTTAAAAGCTTGTATACGCCCTTCCATCTTATCCAGCGAGCAAGTAATCAAATCTTTCCGCTCAGTTTGATTTATTCCAGAATACAAATAGCAATATGTTACTTGAGTGGATATTGCGTAGTATCCGAAGATATAAGGGCAATCACCATATGACCATTTCATTTTTGAGGTTAGCTCCTTTGCTGGATCTTCGGAATTTTCTGGGCCTATCTCCTCCCCTCTTACGAGACAGGCACCTGATATTAAACACGAGGTGTCAGGTAGACATAACCCTGTCGATGTATTTTTAGAGGTGTTTCGGTTGTAGACTACCTTCGGGCATCCAATAAGAATTGGTTTAATAATGAGCGCGTCCCAGAACGCATGATACGAATCTTCTGTAGTACTGGTTACGAGTGGACGAGCGATATCAATAATACATTGATCCCATACTCTCATGGAAGCATTACATGAGCTCACGAAGAAGTTGTTCAAAAATCTCTTGAGGGAGTTCTGATTTAAAATAGCGATCATATCTCATTTGGAAAATATCGATCGCACTGATGAAAGGTCGCTTAATATAATCCAACAAATCCTCGCGGTATATAAATAAATCTGGTTTCTTACTAAGCATACTTGTTACCGAAAAATACAATTCATCATCTATGTTAAAAATCAAATATGTTAAAGACACATGCTCGAGGAAAGAGGTTTGTATCTTTTACTTTTGACCTACCAATTTCGCGCGTGTGTTTAACAGGATTCGTAGTGGAATCTATAAAGCAAAGTTGAGCAGGTTAGCGCGTCAAATTCAAGTTGACCAATCATTACGACGCCTTGATGTTCATGATTACAAACATTAATAACGACAAATATTTTTCGATAACATACCACAAATATTATGAAACAAATTCTGTAGAACACCCTTTTCTTCTTCTTCCGATTTGCAACTTGCAAGGGCCAAGTGTAATTGTTCTCTTATTTCTTGACTTCCAACTAGATAACTTTTGAGTTTAATAATTTCTTCTTGTTTGAGACTAAGTTTATTGATCCTTTCGTAAATATCAGACATATTTTGGTATTTGTTTGATTTTAAGAAGTAAAATAGAATGAATGAAAATTATTTTTTGTTTTGGTGAGGTTTAGAATAAACTTTTATTAAACTAACTTCATTGATTATTATTTGAGAACGCGTATTGTAAGTCTGAAATTTGAAGTATGATTCTTATTTAACAGTTTCATCGGTTGTTAACAGTGTTGGCATATGACTAAATGTCATAAGTCATAAAGATCGGCCGGAATTATAAGTAAGTAAGAATTGCCTTACTTGGTAAGACGTGTAACAAATCTTATAAAATTACAAGGATATTCTTTGGTTCGATAGGTACTCGCGTATTGCCCGAGGATGTACTTTAATAGTACTATTTTCTTCGATCCCTTTCATATAAAGTCTTCAACGTCATTAATTTGATTATAAATGATCGGTCCGCTATTAATAGTTTCGCATTATATAAATTTTCTGCTGTGGGACGTTTTAAAGGAACTGCGTCCAAGCATTGTCTAATGTTATCTAGAATTGGAAATGGAACCTTATAATCAGAACTTGGTCTCAATCCTTGGCAAATTTTTATATCCAAAGATTCATCATGAGCTACTTAATGAAAAGGAGGGAATCTTGTAAATATTTCATGT